AAGATTTGGTGCCAACCGTTGTCCCATTGCCAACTCTCCCATTTGCGCGTAATATTCCCCAGACCATCTGAAAATCGAGCAGTTTAGGCATTCCTTTAAGACAGCCATAAGCTGCTGGATGGACAAGCGATATATATGTATTCCTCCTTCATGTTAAACAAGAAGTTCGTGGATGGCTTGCATTGCGGAGTCATTCGATACGTTGGTGTAGAGCGCGGAAACATCGAAAGACTCTGTCACGTACGCGTTGTTAGGAGACGTGTTACGTAGACGTTCTAGGAATATTTGGGTGTTCGTGAGGTGAGCTAGGATGTGGCTAAGCAGCTGGGTGAGTATTAGGCTTAGAAACCATGTTATTCTATCCGTCGGCCCGTCTACGCAGCTCATGATGGGTCTAACCTTGAAGGATGCTGGGTGGGTTGTATGTGTTTTAATAAGTAAGTGTAAGACGAGACACGTTTGTTTATCAATTTTATAGCGCAAAATAACAGATGGCTTTAAGCCCGTTGTCCTTGCCACTTTGACCCATTGGCTGTTAAGTTTTCGGTATTGCCTTTTGTATTCCTTTCCAGATGAAGGGCGGTAAACGGTAGCATCACTAAGATGCACCTGTGTTATCTCAACATCTAACTGGCGAGGAATAACTATAGACTCCCCTCCATTACCACTAACTGAAAGTCTAATGCTCTTTGAATTAATTATGTCTCTAATTTCTCGCAGACCACATTTTTGTGCGGCTGCGAGGTTAGAACTTTCTACTGCGATAGTGATTTAGTGGGTTTGAGAACGTCGCCCGAAAACATGGACAACGGTGTGAGTGATATGTATGGTACTATTTGCTATAACCACAATGATGCTGAGATATTTTCAAAACTCCGCATCGCAGGTGACGGCTGTGGAGAACGAACTCGCTATTATACTTTCCAGGGCCTTACGCCTTCGCCACCACACCATGCGGGTCCTTCGTTTCACCTTTCTCTCAGCTGGTCCTTTATCTACCAGTGCCATCAGCCAACACCCGTCAACGGGATTGATCTAGGGAGCTCAAATCGGCAATGAACTCATTTAAGCTGAGGGCGTTGTCGAAGTCACAATGTGCAACACTTTTTTATTTGCTGCCTATTACAATTTTTCACGGAAGGATATTATGTGTATTATAACCACAATAGTGGCGAGATATTTGATAGAAAAGTTAACATTGTGGCTTCGATTCTTTTCTCTCAGCTAGTTTTCTATCCACTAATGTCATCAACAACCACTCGTCAACTATTAACTATGGATTACTATGGTACAACATACAAACACATCGCTGCTAGCATTTGGAAGTGGTCTGCAACTTATTGATAACTATTATAGCACTTTTTGTACCGTCACACCCTATACGCTAACTGAAATTCAATATAGCAATCAGAATTGAAATAGTAGTCGATTAGCACCCAAATTTCTGGTTAGTGAATTCGTTTGGAAAAAGGCTTTTAACATTTCCAACTGTGGATTATTGCTTTTTCCGATCAACGACAAACAAAGCGTCTGTGTTCTAAAAGCTATCAATTGATTATAAAACTCTAGGAAAATGATAATTTTCAAACTGACCGTCACTTAACCTCAGTAGTAAAATGATCAACTTGTTTTAACTACTGCGTTTACAGAGAGTTGATAAAACTGTTTTATTCAGCTATCGTTTCGACGTCCTCTTTTTCGTGAGCCGATGACCCGAGTCGATGGTCCGATCGGCTCTGATAAAGACGAATACGCCGAAACACTATAGCCGTATAAGACAGTTTTATCAACCTCATGCAAACTCTAGAAAAATAGTTCTATATGTTAATAAACTGCCAGAAAGATAATGAAAATTGTTAATGGGATACTGGTCAGATCAGCAGAACTATTATGAGACCTACGAGTGTCACTCGTCCGGAGAGTATTGACAAACTTACGTGAAAGCGACTTGAGCAAGATCGTTAGGCTAAAGTGTTTAAGGTGCAGCTTTTGTAAAAATCTTTATTTTGTGGATATTCACTTTGGACTCTATGGATTTCGGATGCACACTGGTAGTAGAACTTTATGCATCGTATTCCTTTATGGTTTGCGCTTATTTGCTATTCGTTTATGTGTTGGTATTCTTGGGATGAGGGCGTGTGGAACGTGCTGGTTTCAGGTGACCCTGCAATGCACATTGCATCGATTCTTGGCTCGATCTCGCGTCCCGGAATTAGGAAACCCTCCATCCCTTGGAGTTCGGCACATTGTGTCAGACATAACTGGGAAGATAGAACATAGAAGCACTAAGGAAGCGGAGAGCGTTGTGGTGATGCTTGCCATCACGAGTACGCTAATAGTTCAAAGCTGGATCGGGCTCACCAGGCCTCTCATTCCTCCGCGTTCGTGGGATTGGTATTTGGATTTTCGCTACATCATTGCGCCAAAAGTTGTTGTGAAACCTGCTACACACTAACAGTTTCACTCAATTTCCTTAACCTCTATGTCTGATGAGGTACAGTAACTTCACAAAGAGCTATCTTAATTGCGTCACAAGTGCAACAGCGACCTGGCATTTCACTAGAATTTAATAATCGTCAAAGTGGAGTGTATACAGCGTGGTACGTACTGACGGAAAAAAAATTCGTGACTCAAGTTTTTCTGCCTTATTGAGCTAAACGAGGGAAATATTTTTTGGACTACTTACGTAATTTCGGGGCGCGTCTAACGCAGTGGCTATAGGCGCCGTGCAATACATATGGGACCAATCACCGCGCTCCAGGCTCGCCATGCCTTCCATTCCTCCAGGGTCGGAAAATTGGTGCCAAGATTCTCTGAGAGGATAGCAATATTGATTCGATATATGAGGAAGCCACTTCGAGTTATTTCATTGCAAAGGCCAATTATGGATGTATCCATTCCACGTAAACTTAATGAAGTCGAATACACGGTGCGTCCCTCAGGGATGGATCGACGCCGAAAGCTTTATCTTTTATCCTTTTTACCTACATTATCTCTTATAGTGTTGTATAGCTAAAATGTTTACAACTAAAATAACCGCTAATAATAAAACTAGTGTTCTAACTCTCGTTCATTCTTTTATCTTCCTACTCCTTCCTTGATTCTTTATACCAATACTTCACGACCATCTTATTCAAAATGTGGTTATTACCCGTATTGGAACAGTATAAATTATTTTGGAACTAATTGTTTTAGATGCGACAGTTGGTGTGACGAAGGAAATGGAGCAAGTAGATATCACGAACCTTGGCTCGTTCAGTACAGACGATTCCAACACGATTATTTCAGCTAACGAAGGTAAACCCGCTTCATTTACTAGCTATTCACCACTCAAATGTCTCTTTCACTAGGTTGCAAGAAAAAGAATGCCAGTTGCTCTTGGAGTAAAAATTTAATGGTTTTTTTTGCTTATAGATTTTCAATATAGTGTTTATTTTTTTCCTGTAAACTGTAAGCATCTCCCTTTTGTTATGTTAAGCAGAGGATCACCTGTATCAACTGTAGTCCCGCTGGCCGTCGAGTGACCCGAACGGGAGTCAATAAATCTTCCATTTTTCTCTGTCGAGTGCAAGAGTAACTCAGTGGGTTCTGCTCGCTCTAGGAGTTCGTTGAGCATTATATCTTTTTTCTAGATTTTTCGTGAAAAACTCTGACCATCGAGTCGGTGATTTTCCTGCAGATCATTTAACATCCCGAGGAATCCACTCACCAACGGCCCTCGTCCATCGGTTGTCATTTATACGCATTACTTTTCCGATCCACCTTATCTTCTACATTTTTATGTACGGAACAACATCTTTAATTTTTGTTCATTGACGCAGGTCGAGGCTTCGGATCCCATCCCTTAATTGTGTGAAACGAGTTACTCCTGTCATAGTCCTCTCGACTGCACGTTCGATAACGCTGAGTGACGTTTCATCCTGCTTACGCAGCGACCAGGTTTCTGACGCATAAGTTAGGGCAGGAAGTACCGTTAAGTCGAAAAACTGGGCATGGAGTCGGGTGTTCCTTGACCTCCTCACTCTACATTCTCCATGCTCTTGAACGCTTCCCAGGCCACTCGTTTACTTCTGCTCAGTTCTGGAGCTATGTTATTCATCATATTGATTTCCCGACCTAGATAGACATAACTGGAGCATCCGGAAGTATTTGTTCCGTTGAGCGTGAATGGTGCATACGAATCCAATCCGTTCCTCATGAACATCGTTTTGTGAGATTTAATCGTAGACTAATCTTTCCACAGGCTTCATTAAAGTCGATAAGCATTCGTTCTGCTTGGCTAATGTTTGGTGTTATAAGGACGATGTCATCAGCAAAGCGAAGATGGTGTAACTGCCGACCATCGATTTTCACTCCCATATTGTCCGATTCCAATGTTCGCATGACATTCGCGAGGGTGGCGGTAAATAATTTTGGAGAGATCGTATCGCCTTGCCCAACTCCTCTTTTGACGACAATGTTAATATCGTTGTAGAATGGTAATATCTCGGTTGTGAAATTTTTGTACACCTTACGAAGAATCTTTATGTGCTGAGTAGGGACTCCTTGACTGTCAAGACCTTCCAAGACTGCTTCTATCTCAACTGAATCAAAGGCCTTTTGTAAATCGATGAAAGTGAGACAGAGCGGTCTTTTGTACTCTCGTGATACTTCAGTAAGCCGTGTTACCGTGTGGATGTGGTCCATCGTACTAAATCCTTTTCGAAACCCTGCTTACTCACATGGCTGCCCTTAGTCTAGTGTTCTGTCAATCCTGTTTAGGATCACTCGAGTGAAAAGTTTGTAGACGACAGGGAGATTTTGAAAGGGAGAACCGGTGGCACAACATATCCATCCTCCTTTATTTTATATGATGGAAGGTGAATATGGCTATCGAAGAGATCTGAGTAGTATTCGTGAATGGTTTTCTCCATTGCTTTTCTCGACGGTGTAGCTGCTCTCTCCGTCTAGGCGTCGCAGTGCAGTCATTTTGGTCATGTGCAGGCGAAACATCGGTGAGCTTAGCGAATGATTTTTCCGGCCTCTGCAGCTTCGAACATTACTGCAGCTCTTCTCTTTTTAAGATTTTGTTTTATCGCCTGTCTGCATTGTTTTGCAGGTTCGGACACTAGTTCGCGGTTACCAGCAGCTCGTGCGATTCCATGCTGGCGTATCAGCTCGAGTGTTTCTGAAGACAGACGTCTCTTAGTGACTTTCGAACTCTCAGCTTTCATAACGCTAACGTGAAGATGTTGAACGAGCCTATCGTATTCTTCGTCGATGTTATCGACAATGGTATCTTCCCAACAGCCGACTAATGAATTGAATAGGTCCCGTTTGCGGTGGTTCTGGGACTTCGATTTTGGAATTTAGTGGCTTTTTCTTCTTTCTGCGAGATAGAATCTTGCACGAAGGAGAGGGTGGTCCGATCTTGTGTAGAATTTTAAGATAACAGCAAAATCGCTTAGGCAAAACCTTCCATTTACTATGATGTGGTCTACTTCGTTATGGTACTCTCCATTGGGTGACTCTCACGTCCAACGTTGAGCGTGGAGCTTCTGGAATTCCGAGTTACCATGGATTGTCTTGGTCTCCATGATAAACTCAGACAGCCGCTCACCCTGTTCGTTCCACTCTAATTCCTGGGTCCCAATGTGACCATCAGACGTTCTTCTTGGTGCAATCTTGCCGTCGAAATCTCCAATTATGACCTTGGGGTATGTGTGGTCTTCTCTGTAGAACTTCTCCAAGTCCATATAGAACGCTTCGACTTCTTCTTCGTCATAGTTTGATATCGACACGTGAACGACCAAGGGTGTTAAAGCCGGAATTGATGCACTTTTTTTTAATCGCAAACGCCCGATTCGGGTTGTAAGCTGTTCGAATGAATCGATGTTCATGGTTGACGAGAACGCCGACGCCGCCGACTCCTCTACTGTCGCATGTTCCCAGGAACATATTTATTTATGTGATCTTATAAACTGATCTTCTTAAGCTGACGCTATATCAACTATCTATGCCGAGGCTTATAGAAAGTCGGTCTTTCGAGTTTCCAGGAACAGTTTTTCTCCGGTGTCATAGACGGTGTTGAATGACTGGCGTCGTCTCGTTTCGTCCAGGCTGATGACGTCGTACCTTGTCCTTCATTGTTGCATAAACAAGTCTTCTATCGAGAACTCGGATGCAAGTGTACGTGCATTGTAGATGCAGATCGTCGCCATAGTTCTTTGTAATCCATACAGCTTCTATTGACCCTGAGATTTTAGCAGCTTTTCCGTACTAATGCTTTCCAGCGCTGTCGAATCGGTGGCTCTTTCGGGGTCAGGGCAATGAGGCCCGTTTCTTATAGCTTGCTGGGCTCTGAACGTGGGAGCTAGGTATGCTCACGGAGAGCTTGCCAGGCTCTCCCAGAATGAACACGGAGCTTATTTGATGGAGGCGACTCCTAACCTTTTCCCATATATTTCCCTGTCACTGGATTGCAGGCTTTTGGCCAAATTGACTAGTAGAATGCAATGTGCATAAATTAGAACGAATCCACGTACGCGTGCATGAATACGCTTGGTAAATACAGAAAGCATAAGCCAAATCGGCTCAGTAGAAACAGAGTCCATCCCCTGAATTCTCCTGCGTCTCAGGGAAGCAAAGGTCGCTTTTGGTCCACGATTAACCCCATATCCACCACCTGGGGACACGCCACGTACCCTCGCGACCGACTAGCTCGAGATCACTCAAAAGAGGGAGATCCGTGAAGCAGAGAATATCAGAAAAATTCTGCTTTTTATATTATAGATTGTCTTTCGAAAAAGTCTTAAGTATCCATTTTGTTCCAGCATTGAGGCTGTAAGTATCCATTCTATTACAGTATTAATGTTGAACTTGATTAATATAGTCTTGTGATTAGAAACTAGTACTGTGGTATTTTCCGCACTAGGTTAGTTACGCGGGATAAAGAAACCTGACCAAAGTTCTTAAGAGTGCGGTGGACTTCAGCATGTTTTATATTTATATGTCTCTAACAGGAACCACATCGGAATGCGGTGGTCGTTTGGAATTCCAAACGCTGCCAATCGGTAGCCTTCCACATCTTAATGTAACTAACGACATCCCAGCTCGAACTCCGGCCGACTGCGCTAGAAAGTGCTTCGAAACTGCAAGTTTTTCGCTAGTTTGGTTTTTTTGGTGAAAAAACTATGGGCCACAACATGATTTTTAGGCTCTCCGTCCTTCATTCCTTTCTCGAATGTCATTTACGTGTTGTTCATCTGTGGCTCTACAAAGTTTATCAATCATTCACTTTATTTTATAGAAAGGCTGTTCCATGGCTGGATACATCAATAATCCTACTGACACTTCAAATGGGGTCTGTCTACTTACTTCTGATGCTAATGTTTGTGGAAACAACGCCGACTACATTCCTCAGCACGCCGCATTGAATCCATTTCTCATCTCGTGCATCAGATGCAGCGGTTGTCAACTATGATAAAAATTAATTTTGAAGTTTGGTCATATGATTGTCGATGTTTAGAATGTACTTACATCATTCGAATGATAACAACGGGCCGTGTGCTTCCAACCTTTAGTTACAGTGAAAGTGTCTCATCAATTGGCGAATGTGCCCGAGCCTGCTATGCAAGACGGTGCACTATGGCACAGTATAACAGTTTCCAGCATTCGGTAGGTTACTTCAAATTTTCACATGTGCAGAGGTCGCCCTAATCATAGAACGATCTACTTTATTTGCTTATCTTTATACCACAAGTTTTTTTTTTATCAAATTAGTTTTAGTCCTCATAAGAAAGCGTTTTATTTCTTCCCTGTGAGCTGTACCTTTTCCCGCTTCTTTGAGCTCTTTGAGCAGAGTTTGTTCATTGGTAGTGTTCGACAAAATGACGTTTTCGCTAAATAAACGAAGATTTAACAAAAATAGTCCATAGATCCTATGCCTTTGCGCTCTAATCGAGTAACTTGTTTATCCACAGCAGTAGCTGTAAGCATCCTTGACGAGATAATGTTGCCTTCCCTATCCCATAAGGATGGTAGGAAACCGATGGCAAAGCACTGTTTTTGCAGCGCAGTTTCGATTACTATCATCGAAACTTTTTATATAGGACGAGTCTACTCTTTTCTCGACTAGCACTGATAGGACCGTATTTGTTTCGGTGTTTACGGTTTGGACGCATTCCATGAAGCAGAATCCCTCGCAAACCTGGTCGTTGGAACGCGCTAGACGAAAATATTCAAGAAGACCTTGTCGAATTTGTTCATAGCTTGGAGATGTGAGGAATAAACCACACATTTGTGTAGATGTGATGACCGACCTATTAGTCACCTGAACATCTGATGTTTTTTTCCTACCTGGTTTATTTGTTCCCTTACTAATTGAAACTGTCCAAAAGTAAACGACGACTTTTCCCCTTATTAGATTCTGAACGATAGTCACTCCGAGATGTCTATTAGGGTAACATTTGTGGTTAATATGCAGATTTCTTCCTCACAAAAAGTTGCAAGGCAACGTGGCGCGTCTCCAGGTAGCGGATTCGCGGTTCACCTTGTGTTTACCCGAGACACGGGTGGATCCCGGAGATGAATTCTCTGTTTTTGCTGTGCCGATTTGACACATACCTTCGGTGTTTATTACGAAGTATTCATCCGTGAGTGCGTCCGTGTATTCTCGTTCATTCAGATTGTATTCTACGAGTCAATTTGGCTAGAAGCCTCCAATCGAATGACTGGGAAATGCGTTGGTGGCATTTAGGAGTCGTTTCCAGCAAATGAGTTCCTCGCCTCCTCTGGGAAGGACTGGCAAGCTAACTCTTTGTGTATCCGGAACCAGGTCCAAAGCCCGGCGAGCTATACATTTTTAAAGTTATCGATAGTTATAGATAAGATACATAGATATCAAATGTTGAGCACAGTAAGAAAAGCTGCTTCATTCCCCTTACTCTGAAGGACCGTTCATACGGCAGCGTTGTGTAGAACCAATACGGAGAGGCTGTTGAAATCTCAGGACAATTCTAGGCTACCTAAATCAGGAAAGACTAAGGTGACGATCTATACTTACAATGCCCGACTACCTGCATCCGAGTCCTCGATAGAAGACTTGACCATGCAAGTAAGAAGAATAAGGTAGGACGCCATTTAATAGGTCAACACGATAAGACGACCCCCATTCAACACCGTAGACGACACCAGAGAAGAACTGTTTCCCGGAACATGCAAGATTAGAGAAGTGGGCGGCGTCCGCGCTCTCGCCAACACGAGTAAGGTTATGAGCATCGATCAATTTGAGCAAATAAGAGCCTTAATCGGACGTCCACGATGGGAAAGATTTGGATCAATACCGGCTGCGACAGTGCGCGTCCTACGCACCGGTATCAAGCTATGACGAAGACGAAGGCGAAGCGTCCTGTAGGGATTTAGAGAAGTTCTACAGTGAAGACCGTGCATTCTCTATGGTCATTATTGGTATAAGGCAGTTGCTCGCTTGTGCGACTTTTCCAGCTACGCGGATCTCTTTATTGTTATCGTAACACCAGATGTCAAACTTAGCTGAGGATCATTACGTAAACACACAGCACGCAAAAATCAAGAACAACATATACAAATATACCATACAGATGAGTGGAGTGCTAGATCAAAGTCGAAAGGTGGAAAAATATGCGATGGAATAGGTGCATAACCATAAAGTGCAACCTGTAACAGTGATTGATTTGTAGGAGAAAGGTTCAGATCAAAATCGAAGGTAAGGTGGGGTGGACACGTAATTCGTTTGAACGACTACCGATAGACAAGAGCGGCTAGTACTGAAATTCTCGGGATGTCGAACATGATGAAGGAAGACCAGCTACGCTATGGTCAGAGTTTTTCACTAAAACCCTAGAAGAGATGCTCAATAAGTCTCTAGAACGATCAGAGCCCATTAGGCTACTCTTACTCGCGACAGGGAGGAATGAATGCTCTGCTGCTGTCCGGCAGAGTCAACGATAAACGAAACGACAGATGATGCAACTGTCTTAGACAGCTAATCTGCAGTTCAATTTTTTACCATTTATGTGCTTTATAATTACCACAATGAATTTCAAGTTGGCTAACGATTAACGAAATGCCATGTTTCATTAGATTAAGGCAGAAATATTGAAGTATCGACGGTGAAAATCGCAATCTGCTCTGCCTTTATTGGCTGTGATCGTTTTGTAGTCTGTTTTCTATCGAAAAAGTGTAAATTCCCAGTTTCCGATTTGTCAGTGCACTTGACGGCGAACTGGCAAAGGGTGCCCTGCAATAAACACGTAGTCGCGGATTCGTTTTCGCACCCAGGTGTTAACCAACCACTCTATCCCCATGCGGTGCTTCCATTTCCTACATATTGGGATGAGAGGACATAAACACTGAGTTGATTAATCAATGTGCTTCCGCAAGCTATCGGGTAGGCCAAATATACAACAAGTCACCTCTACAATGCTAAGAATGGAGTTGAATGCATGTCACATCTCTCACGAATTGATCGACGCCGAAAACCTTGCTGCGCTTTCTTGCTCAACGCTGTTCTTGTATAAGCGAGGACTTCTTTAATACTGTGGATTATGGCCGTTATTTACAATGGGAGCGGAAGCTAATCGAATAGAACTAAGCCCAACAAAAACGCGTGGAACAGAAGGACCAAATTAGTAATCCCAGTACTCAATTGAAATCAATCTCAGATGATACCACTATTTTTTCCAGGTAATTTTTTTTATTTCTCACAAATATTTCACGTTTGCATCAATTTCTTTACTGCGAATTTCTCAGTCAAAATTTATGCTACAGTCCTATGAAAAGCTTAACGTATGCTCAAGAAACTAGTGTTCTATCGTCCTACCGTTGCGAAAGTTACCTGTCCTAATCTACACCATATTGTTCTCAAATGATAGTTAGCTTTCCGGAAATAGTGACTGTACTGTAGTCGCAAGGCCTGCCATCTAGGGATATAGAGAGTATTCTGTTCTTTTCGATAACGTTCGTAACTGCTACCGAAGTTTTCCAGTTAACGATGATGGACTCAAGTTAATAAAAATTTAAGCTAATAGACCGAGATTCGTTTTCCGTCCACATTTCAGATAATTCACTGAGATTTCGCTATATCTGAGACAATAAAAAGCTTCTTTCTCTATTTTCAGTGTGCAATGACGTCCACGCCGTTGGATTCGAAATGCATGCCTGAGACTCCTGTAATAACAGAGGGTATTCTTCCTGTTACTCTGGAATGTGTTCATTGTTCTCCATAGAACCACTTTCACTCACTGAATCATCTTGTATTGCACCTTATTCGTTCGTGTTCCACTCCTTTCTTTCACTAATATTAGCCAGGTTTATGGCGATGGAAACCGGCACGTCATTATGTTTCCGTTCGCACACTGCCTTGTTTTCTAGTACGCTAGTCGTGTTTGTGTTTTCCGTTACTGCCGTTTTTAAGATTAATACAGTTTGAAAGGATTTATGTGCTCCACAATAACGAGTCATTTTGTTCTTTTAGACTTATTTTACACTTTTGCCTTTTGTGAAGATTGTTTTATTAATGTCCTCTTGATAGCCGATCCAGTCCAGGATCTGCTGTTGTTTTCCATGCGAGTAATTTCCACTCATTTGCCCTATATAAATGCAAAACTATGTAATAAATTCGTCGTTTTCTCTCTCAGCAATCGTGAGGTCGTTAAACAGCATACGTTCACTTTCATACAATAGCACACATACAACACAATCGTAGCTGACGTTTCGGCAGAATCGCCTTCTTCAGAGCCTGGAAGGGTACACTAATATGTAATGTAGCTAGATCAAACGCTTCGATGGCATCAACAGAAAGATGAGAATCTAAATAGCAGTCACGTGGTCAACAGCTTCTCGAAAAACTCACCGTTTTACGTGCCTTCCACTGAGGGTCGTCAGAGTCGCATATGGTTAACGACCGCACCTCCCCACATCAGCGACCGAGCGAATGTACAGGGCAAGATCAGGTGTGATCTCGAAACATTTCTTCCTGCTGTTCACTGTAGGGTTTTTGGCATTTATCCAAAAAGCCTCAAGAAGCTTAAGCGCTGGTTTTTTGGCATCCTGTGCTAGGATAGTGACCATTCTATCAAAATCGTCTCCGCCATGCTTTTCTTTCCCATGCGTCCTTAGTGAAGCACTTTGTCTTTCTTCCTAGAAAACCCTATAACCCTAGATACACGAATACTAGAGCCCTTTGTTATGCTCTCAGCTCTCAGTCTCGGTCGCTGAAAAAAACAGAAAATAATTGTTAATTCTTCCTTGATAAATTTAATGTGTAGCTGCGGTGAGGTAGGTTAATGTGTAGGTGCAGAGATTGAACATATCCTGACAAATAGAAGATTGTGCCTACTTAACACAACAGTAATCCCGTCATTCTGTATCGGTTTCGATCGCCGCCTTCTTCGCGCAAAGATTCGATTCAGCCACAAGCAGGAAAAGAACTCTCTT